ATTATACAAAAAATGTATTTGTTTTGTTACAATCTTTGGATATTAAAAGTTGGGTGCATTCAACCCCAAAAATTCCCCAGGCCGCAGGGGGGGGGTGGGGAATTCTGGGAGTTGAAGTCCATTCATCTTAAAGTGGCCAAGTTTGGACAACACTGCAGTAGATCTTTCAGGAGTAGAGGATGGCAAACACAATGATGGAGCTTTGCTATATTTGTACCTTGTTCATGACTTTGTCAGATGTATCAGATTTATCTGATGCAGCACAGCACCTCTCAAGGTCCCATCGTAGCTACGCACATAGATGGCACGATAATTAATCTTATTATTATTGAAGGAAAAAACACAGCATCCCCTTATATTGTGTAAGGTAACATTTCTAGTCCGCTTCTGTTTCAACCCCAGTTCACCCAAAGCTTCTCATGTTAAAATTGCTGGCAAATTCATAATGTCAAGAGAACAAAACAGGGACTTGTGGGGCGGAGGAAAACGTATCTCAGGGTGTCCACTTTGCATAAGGAGAACTGGAGCACACCGCTGACTACTGGTGTCATCAGAAAAAATGAAGACAGTCTGAAAGAATGAGCATTACAGAAAAGGGTAAAAGAAATCAAACCAGGACCATCATCTTGTTTTCCCTGCCTCTGCCCAGTACTTCTTGGAAGAGATTTCTTTCCTCTTCTCACCTAAGAATATATATAAGCATCTGTTCAAGGTAAGAATAGCCAGGATGACTCATAAAGCTGCCTGGTTGAACTAATAAGTGTTTGTTCCCCCATCCCAGGTAGATTTGATATGCCCGAAACCAGTTCTGTTCCTCCCTCCTCATTCAGTCCAGATGGGAATTCCACAGCTAATCTGTTGCAAAATAGTGGCGGTGGTATCAGATGAGGGAATGAACATGGCCTAAGAGTCTGGTGTAAGTAAATCAACCTCTTGGCAACACCTCAATTCTTTATCATTAATTTGAGGGTTGAAAAAGAACAAGCTTATTTATAATTACCAAACAAGATAACAACATATTCATACAATTACATATATAAAGTGAGAAAGGTAATCAGCTAATTCAGGGAATGGACTACAGGCCTATTTTTTTGTGACCCTGAGATCCCTTGGAGATTACGACACTGAAAGCTTGTGACCACCCACCAAATACTGAAGGTGCAATAGATGGCAGATTTGCAAAAGAAAGGCAAAAAAACCAAACAAAAACAAAAACAAAGAAAATCCACCCCCAAAGTGTGAAAAATCCCAGCTCCCCCTATTCACTACAATGTCATTACATTAAAACTGTATCCACTGCAGCCTCAGGTGCTGAAAAAGATTAGCAAGTGGGACTTCCAACCAGCTAGAAGTTGTTCACCCAGGTCTAACCAAAAGCACAGTCCAGAAGGAAATAGAGGATTGAATCCTGTATCATCTAAGGCAGGGGTGAGGTTGCTATGGTCCTTTAGATGTTAGAAAACAGGTCCCCTTATCCCTGGTATTTGGGTATGCTGGTCAACATTTTGACCAGCATCAATCATCTTGGAGACACAGATTCCCTACTCCTGAAAAACTTTTGACAAATACTATAGTGGAGTGAGAAGCCTGCAGGCTATTGGGCAGCTCTTAGTTATTCTGTGACTCACTGTCTCTTCTAGGGAGGTGCCAAAGGATGGGATTCAGAGAGAGAAGGAATTAAAAGTTTCTCAGTCCCAGACGGTCACTGGCTGGAGGTCAGTGTTCTGCTGAGCTCCAGCTGGCCTGGTAGAACTGTGGTGGGACTGCTCCCTCCCATCTGGACACTGGGTTCTGCCTGTCTATGGCCATTTTTGCTGTGACTGCCAGAGAGACTGGATCAGTAAAGCCCATTTCTTCTTATTTTTTTCTGATTTGGATAAGAGAATATCAACTTTGTGGAATGCCAGTCTTCTATGAGATCAATATTCCCATTGATACCCCAAAATAAAGGTTCCCCTCCCCCCAGGGTGTACCAAGTGCTGGCTTTCATTGTGGCACTTCTCTCTAAAAATCTCTCTCTCTCGCATGCACGCACTTGCACACACGCACATATATATACATTCTATCCATAGGAAGATCATTATGTGGTTTTCAGTTCCCAACCCAGCACCATAGAAACATGAGCTCATGGCAAAGGATTTGCAGAGAGGCTCCAAGGAGCTCCACCAGCTAAACACCAAGAGCAGTGGGACTTCAGAGGCCATGGCAGAAATAAATATTGACAATACTGACCAGGAGCTGTCAAACTGATTTGTTGGTGGCCTGCTCTTAGCAGCTACCTCTTTACTCCCGACAAAGTAGTTCATGTTGAGACTGAGTTCTTGTCAAACCCGAAGGAAGGAAGAGGGACTGGGCTGCGCTTCCTTTTCATGCTGGAGCAAACTAACCTGAGCAAGGAGCCTTCAGTCAACTGCCCTCCAAGTCTGAATCACCAACCACCTCTCCTCCCTTCCCTGGGGCAGGACAGGAGGCCAGTTTTGTTGCCAGGCTTCACCAGGGGGTCGTGGTGTGTAAGGGCATGTGAGCAATTGCCAGTTGCATGAGGAAATGGGTCGTGGTGCCCCAGTTGCAATGATGTAGAGGATGGTGGAACCACAGCATTGGCACGTGGATAGGGGCCTGGGAGGAGGTGCTCAGGTTAGTGGTGGGGGACTTGGGTGATGGCTGGAGAGGTGGGTGAAGAGATGGGGGTGGAGCAGCAAAACCCTGGGCAGTTCGATGGGGTTTTGTCAGGTTCAGCCCAAAGAACTCCACGAGACAGTACAGATACAGTCCTGTTGCATTTATTAGCTTCCACCTCAAAGGGAGAATCTCCCCAAACTGAATCTAAACTTCCCAAGCCAGCAAGCCAGAACACTGTGAATTCCTTAGGGTGGTGCCAGTCTCATCTTCTTAACCTTCCCACGTTCCTGCTGGGGGCTAAGGGAATACTTATCTCCCCGAGCGTGCCCTTCACCAAACCATTCCATCACAGGTTTTCAGTGCAGCACCTTTGAAAAATATGGCTATTTTTGCCAAGGGGTATCAACTTCTGAATCTTCCCAGAGACTGAGAGATTGATATTCCTATGGTGATAGATAGATAGATGATAGATAGAGATTAGATAGATAGATATTTTATCCTGTCTGGAGGATAAAAGGGATAGTGGATGAAGAGGTGGGAAATTCCGATCTCCACCATACCACACATTCAAGACAATGAGTGGGGGGCAATTCTCCTGCAGGTAGGTGATGCTGGGAGGGAGGGGAAAGGGTGGCAGGGAATCCACCAATCGCTGCCCTAAAATGACTTCCTGCTTAAAGGCCGCAAGACTGAGCAACACACCGGAAAGAGGCTGTGAGGGGCAGAGCTTTTCATACCAACAAACTTTCCTCTTCACTTAAGGACGGGGGTCTAACAAGGTTTACCCTCTACTCCTTGTAAATGGTTATGAACATTTCTACTAATATTTAAACTTGGCTAAAGAACAAAACACAATGTATTGATGTAGTGAAAACAAGGGTAGTTTGCAAGAAAAGGAAAATATAGAGAGGCACTGGCTTGAACTAGATTTAAGTATATTTTCTGTTCTCTCATGCCCTTAAATTCTCTGGTTGGCTATTTCTTACTCCTTTTCTGTGCTTTACACAATGTTGTTTACCCTGAAAGAGAATAGTTGATGGATATTTGCTTGTTTTTGCTGTTCGTTCAGAAGCTCAAGGGTATTCATACATACACATGTATATACGTAAATTAGCTTCTTGGTTAAAAATCACCACTTCTTGCCCTAGACTAATTTCTGCATCTGCTCTCTGGCAAACTTTTGAAATATTAGAAAATTATTGATATGTATTTTCTTGTTAAATAGCTTTTTCTTAAACAACTAGATACAGGTACTGTAGTTCTTGTTTAGCAACTGCAACTGGCTCCAGCACCTTGGTCATTAAATGAAGTGGTCACTAAGTGAAAATCACACCACTGCAACTGTGCTTACAATTTTAGTTCAGCTTTCCTTAGGAGAAAAACAAAAGCCTTCAGTGTGAAACTGATTAGGGTCTTGTCAGTTTCAGGCAGCAGCGCCATGGGGTTAGCACTTTTTAGGCACCTGCTGAGCTGTGAGAAAAAGAGTTCAAGAAGAAATTGTTTGTTTAGGCAATCTCTCTGCCCTGCAAGGGTAGGGAGGAGAAAAAATGGGTCAGACACAGGACAATGAGTACTGACTGACTGCAATGGTGAACATATGACTGAGAGAGACACTGCAAAGATTGTCAACGCAGGGATAGGTTGCAAAGTTATTTTTTCAGCACCATAATTGTGAACAGTCACTGTCTGAAGCAGTCACTAAATGAGGACTACCTGTAATCTTCCCTTTTAATAACTAAACATTTTCATTTCTACATTTCAATGGTCATTTTCCAATTAATCCGAGGATTCCGTGTGTTTGTCCCTTCCACACAGTATCCTGAAAAGGTAGCAGCAGCAGCAGCAGCAGCAGCAGCAGCAGTCATTATTACAGGCAAGCTTTCGTTAATGTAAAGGAAAACTTTGAAACACAGGAGTGATGTCTGAGCTAACTCTGTGGCCTTCAGATGAGGCCCACTGCAGCTCTCCAGGCTTCAGGCCAGCGGGTTATGCTGGCTGAGAGGGATGTCAGCTGCAGCGCCGTGTGAGGCTCCCTTCCGTCTGCAAGACGACGGATCAGCCGATGTGAGCACTGCCTGCTTCACCCTTCCTCTTCTCTTTCCCCAGCTCTCTGCCTGGTGCTGGGCTGCATGATCTTCCCAGACGGCTGGGACTCAGAGACCGTCAGGGACATGTGCGGGGAGAAGACGGGGAAGTATTCGCTGGGCGACTGCTCTGTGCGTTGGGCTTATATCTTAGCCATCATTGGCATCTTGAACGCCCTTATCCTCTCCTTCCTGGCCTTTGTCCTCGGCAACCGGCAGAACGACCTGCTTCACGAGGAGCTCAAAACAGAAAACAAAGGTGAGTGCTGTGGGTTTGGCGCACACAAACACACCCGGGCAAGCAAGGCAAACCTTCCCCCTGCCCATTCTGCGTGGGGCTGAGGCTGTGGAGCAGCAATTATTGCCTCAAATATTGGAAAAGAAAATCTTTTAGGAGTAACTATTGTAGGTTCCCTTCATATCGAAACTATAAAATGCATGTCTGGGTGTGGAGGGACTTAGGAAAATTGCCTGAAATTACAAGGATTTAGCTCAATACTAGGGAGCAGTGTTAGCATCCCATCCATTCAGATTTTACTCTGGGAAAAGGATAAGGTTCTAGCAGGCAGGAATGGAGGATGACATTGATTCTAGATCCGAGTCTGCTTCCCACTGCTCCTTTCATTTCTGAAGTTTTGATGGGATTCTTGGCTACCCATTCTTCTGTTTGCAAAAAAAGGGGAAAGATAACTATTGGGAGATTGCATCCATTCCCTTTATGATTGCATTTTTGCTCCACCTTTCTGCTCCAAGTGGCTTACGACGACAACAAAAAATATAAAGTATAAAACAAAACAGAATACCATTAATCAAAACTCAAGTAAAAATCGGTCACACCAAGAATTAACAACTAAATTCATGGCAAAGGTGTTGTGTTTTTGCTGTCTTCCTAAATGCTGGGACCCAAACAGTTCTCCGGGAAGAATCCTAGCCTGGAATCCAGGCAGGAGAAGTCTCTTCTGCAAAGAGTGAAACTTCTACTGGCAGGAGCATCTTCAGAAGAGCCCCCCTTTGCTGTTCTGAGTAACTGGGCATCTTCATATGAAGAGAGGCAGTTCTGCCGATAATCAGGCCCTCAGCCATTTAGAGCTTTAAAAGCTTAATCCTTTTCTGCTGTGGTGCCCGTGCTCTGGAATCTTCTTCCCCCCAAGGTGAGGTTGGCCTCATCAGGGTTGGATTTCCAGAGATCCCTCAAGACTTGGTTGTGCCCGCAGGCCTGGGGACCCGTGATCTAGTGAGGTGGCTCTCTTATTTTTAACATCTCTCTGTTATTTTTAACATCTCTTCGCTTATTATTTTTTTAGTTTGGTTTTTATACTTTTTAATGTATTTATTGGTTGATGCACACCACTCAAGAGTTGCTTGGAAAAAAATGCGATGGGCAGCTAATAAATTGTGTAAATAAATAAATAAATAAATAAATAAATAAATAAATAAAGAATCCAATGCTTTGAACGGTGCCCAGTAGGCAACTGGTAGCCAGTGCAGATCCTTCAGTACGATAATCCCTGTTCCTTGCACTGGTCAGCAGTCTGGCCATCACATTTTGCACCAATTGCAATTGCTGGACACTGTCCACAGATAGCCCCACATAAAACACATTGCAGTAGCCAAAGGGGTGTAACCAAGCCATGGGTAATGGTCATTATGTCCAACTGACAAAGAAAGGATTGCAGTTGGCACACTATAAGTGTGCAAATACTATGTGCTTGTCACTTGCAAATCCAGTGTCAACTGGGAGCCGAAGAACACTCCCAAACTGGGAACTTGTTCTTTCTGGGGGAGTGCAACCCCATCCAGAACAATCTTCATCTCCACAACATAGTACAGCTTTTTCTTTATCAATAGCACCTCAATCTTGTTTGGATTTAGTTTCAGTATTTTCTCCCTCATCCAGCCTGTTAATCTGATTAGACAACATTTGCTTCCTTGATGTTAGAAGGTTGGGAGCTCTAGAGCTGGGTGTCATCAGCAGACTGATGTCACTGCACTCCAAAGTTGTGTATGACCTTCCCACCAATGGTTTCATACAGTAATCAAATGGCATAGGATATAAAGGAGTTTGCTGTGGAACATTGTAAGTCAACAACCTAGGTATTGAAAGAGGTCCCCCACCACCTTCTGGGCCTAACCCTGATAGACGGCCCAGGAAGATACTATAGTCAATGGAATCAAAAGTTGCTGAAAGGTCTAAGAGAACCAGCAGGGTCACATTAACAGTTTCCAGTTTAGGTCTTCTATCAAAGCAATCAGAAGCCTCAGTACTATATCTGGGATAAAGCCC